TTATCTTCCAGACCTCAACTTAGAGAGCACATAAAGTTAGGGAGCTCCCATGGCATTCTGCTCCTATGACACTCCAAAGCATGACTGAACCAATGGCAGATATGGCAGATGCTAATTAAAAGTTTGAGCTCAGAGGATTGAAGAACATTAAAAAGAAAAAAAAAGTTCTATGGATGGATATAAGCATGCATGGGGAGATGGAAGAATACATGAACACGAGAATGAATAAATTCGTAGGAAGATGAGATTTAAATACTTCTCTTGCATTCTGGAATATTTAATAAATGTGAATTTGCAAGCTTCTATAGAAGCTTATCATTAACTTCTAGGCATTATTCCTGTCTTCCAAATTTTATGCCTTATATCCATAGAAAACTCTTCCTGTTGTAAGCAGAATATGCGATTTGGCCAAGATTATAGATGAAACTGTGCTAATATGAGATGCTTCTTAATAGTATTCTACATTTATTGAGCGGCCATCAAGTGTCAAGCACACGCTGAGCAGTCTGAGACCTCTTAAAGAATGCACACAATATAGGAGCACAGAGGTTAAAGAATTAACTAGAAAAGGGGACTCTGGTGTCATGGTTGTCAAGGTGGTCATGGCTGGGTTTAGAAAAGGCTTCATATAGGAAGAGGAGTCTCAGGTGAGTCTTGGAGGTTGAGTTTAAGTAGGTCACTTAAACCAGGGTGGGGCAGAGAAGGACTTTCCATGCGAGGAAAAGCATGTCAAAGATACAGAACAAGAGAGAACATGCATTAAGTGTTTAGCAACTAGTTTATTGTGGCTGTAGTTTGGAAAGTATTTGGTTGAGAGATCTATTTAAACATATTTAATAAAAAATAAAATATGAATAACCAAGTTGGAGATTTGTGGAAACAAAAAAGAGGGCTAGCAGAAAGTGAGAAATTCCCCCAGATGGGGTGTCGGTCAGGTAGGGGGGTTGGGGGGACAAACCCACAACTAATGGAAGTGGAGCACACTGTATGGGGGAAGGACATGCTTGTAGCCCTGGCTTGGGCGAGGCAAACACATTACAGGTAACCAAAATGTTTGTACCTCCATAATATCCTGAATTAAAAATAAATAAAAAGAAATTCCCCGAGATAATGACATTTGTTCCCCTCATCCCCACCCCACAGCCTTCAGCCTTTAGATACCACCTACAGGCTGATGACTCCTAAATTTCTGATAAATATTATCTCCATCCCCCCAGTTGCTTATGCCAAAGACTTGGCTTATCTTAGATAAGGTCCTCTTCTCATCTCCATCTCCAGTTGACTAATAAGCCCTATTATTTCCACCAGTTTTGATCAGTCCTCCATTATCTATCACCAGGTCACTACAATGACATAACTAATATTTTCTCCACTGCTGTAATCCCCCCACAACCCATTCTCCACTGTGCAACCAGAATGATCCTGAAATAGTATTTTTCAAGCTGTACACACCGATCACTTGAGGTGCTTGGTTGAAAAAAAAATGCAGATATATAGTTCTCAACTCAGACAATTGAAACAGAATCTTTAGGGGTTGAGGGTTCTTCAGAATCCAAGAATGTGCACTTTAATAAGCCCTGCCTCTACCCTTTTCTGCCACTGAAATTTAAGAAGCACCAATATGTGAGGCAAAGAACCTTAAAGGTTAAGAGTAGATATCTTGAACCAGAATGTCTAGCTTTGAATTCTAGCTATGTGTTCTTGGGCAAGTAACTCAACTTTTCTGTGCTTCTGTCTCCTCACTGGGAAAATTAGAATAATAGTGAGTTAGCTATTGGGTTGTTGGGAGGATCAAATGAGTTAAAACTTAAGTGGTAGCTTTTACTGCTTCTCGCCAATATTTCGAGTTCTCTTCTGCTTCCTAGCACATGGTTGTATTTCTCCACCTATATTAAATGTGATCATGTGATTTACTTAGGCCAAGGAAACATGTATGGAAGTAATGTGAGTCACTTCTGAAGGACGCTTGGGGCGATGATTCTCCATGTCCTCTCTTCTCTTGCCATGGCAATCATGGAAGTACATGTTTATATGGAAATGTCCAAGACAGAAGCAGTGTGGAACACTGAGCCAAGACATGGAAGACAGCTGCCTTGCACTCTTATGCGAGCAAGAAATGAATGCCTATTGAGCTAAGCTCCTGAGATGTTAGGGATTGTTTCCACTGCATAGCCTAGCCCAACCTAGCTGATACAGCTTTGAAGTCCTTGGAGTAGGCCTGGCCTATAGTAACTGCTCAATCACAGCTTCAGAACACAAGTCCAGCAATGCGGCTCAAAGGAGGAGCAATTTTCCCTTTACTAACTTAAAACATACACCAGATCATGTCACTACTCTGTTGACAACCCCTCAATTGCTCCTAATGGGATTTAAAATAAGATGTAAATCACTAACTCGGGGCCTATAGCCCTACTTGCTTTGGTCTCCAGCTTTACCTTGTTCACCCTTCCACTCACTCTCCTGCCAACAGGATTTTCAGTTCCCTGCACATGACACGCACTTTCCTGACAAAGGGCCTTTGTACTTGACAAGCCCTGAACTTTTTCTCATCTTCATGTCTCCACTTAAATGTCAGCCCCTCAGAGAGGCATTTTCTGTCCATCCAATGGGAAGCAGAAGCTCCTTTACACTCCCTTTCTTATTCCTGTCTCAACACCTTACCTGTGTCTTTCACATTATTCATTGTGATCAGTAATTAATTTTGCTTATCTGTTCACGAGTCTCCTGTCCTCCCCTAGTATCAGAAAGGAAGCTCCATCAGGACAGAGCCCACATCTCTCTTGCTCATGGTTTTATCCTCAGCACTAAAACAGTCCCTGACATGCAGCAATATCAGATAGGGAAGGATGGGGTGTGCGAAGAGGTAGGAAAAAAGAGGGAAGAAGGGTTGTCCTGGAATTAAATTGTGCTTTTTCTGAATACAAAATACTACCCTAAAATGACTACTCCTCCCTCAAAATTAAGTTTGTAACAAAAGTGATTAAAATTCTGAAGAGTGATGTCTTTTTTAATGAAATGATGCTTTAGTTATTTTCAGAAAACAGTATAAATTATAAATTAAGATATGTGTATTTCTGACAAAATAAGTCAATAAAAATCCACTTCAAAACCAGCTTTTATTACAGGCAATGTATTATAAACACAAAAATCCAGAATCTGAGTTACACCTTTTATTTAGAAGAACATTTCACTCAATAAAAATCTGATATACTGGGTCCAAGTGATGACACATTGCAAACTAATGAAACTCCTGTAGCTTAAATAAACAAATTTAGATCAGTAAGTAAAATCAAAGCCAAGTGTATTTGCACAATTTAAGAATGACATGAATGGGGCCAGGCACGGGTGGCTCATGCCTGTAATCCCAGCACTTGCATAGGCTGAGGCAGGAGGAGCACTTGAGGCCAGGAGTTCAAGATCAGCCTAGGCAATAAATAGCAAGACCCTGTCTCTACAAACAATAGAAAAATTAGTGAGGTGTGGTGGCGCATGCCTGTAGTCCCAGCTACTCTTGAGGCTGAGGCAGGAAGATCGCTTGAGCCCAGGAGTTCGAGGTTGAGTGAGCTATGATGATGCCACTGCACTCCAGTCTGGGTGAAAGTGAGACTCTGTCTCAAAAAAAAAATCTATAATCTG